TTGAAGCCCCGTGCCATGGGGCTCTAGACTAACTGAAGCCAAATGGCCACAAAAATGCCATACATCCTGTACTTCAACAAGAATAGCCAATCACTAACCAATACTAATTCCATAGACAAATGAGAATTCCTGATAAATAAGTTTTGTCATCACCCTTTCTCCTGATCTATCTTTTCTTCTTTATAAATATTCTCCAGAGCACTCTCCAAGGCAAACTGATGATGTATCCTGGGCTGCAGTTCTCAAGCTTGGCCCAAATGATGGAGGATTTTTCTCAGCCCCTTTGCCGGGCACTTGGCAGGAGGCACCCTGTCCACTGGGCCTGCCAGGCAGCTTCTGGCTTGCACTCCGGCGCAGATCCCATAGCAGCTGCTACTGCCCGCTCAGGCCCTGGTGGGAGGGGGTGTGTGAGTGAGTGTGGGGTTGGGCCAGCCATTCCAAATGCTGGTACAGGGGTGGGCTCCATGCAGGGCTTACAGCTGGACCAGGTGTGTCGCCCCAAAGGGAATGCAGTGGTGCCTAGGCAGCGGTGCCCATGATCCCGAAGCCCTGTAAGGGTGTTACATTGTGCTCATTAGCTCTTTTAGTCCCACCATCCGCAGCCCAAAAGATGGTGGCATGTTAACAGCTCAGTCACCCCCTTGCCCCATTCCATCCCGTAGCTCTGGGGCTGGCTCAGCCCCATTACTAATTCCCATCAAGTGAGGCAGCTGCCCTCCACCCATTGAGGACAGAGGGCCACAGTGTTATAGCCTCCTGAGTACCTGTGTTCAGTGGGTCCCAAATTCTTGTCCCATGTCCAAGAAGAATGAGGTAACACTGATAATTGAAGGGTGATGAAGGCAGAGAATTTTATTAAGTGATGAAATAGCTCTCAGTGGAGAGGAGAGGGGAAGGTGGTCTCCTCCAGGGTGGCTGAGTCTGGGGATTTTAGAGGCACAGGATGTGGGAGGGGCAGGCCGCAGGTAGTATCAGAAAAGGCAACATTCAATTGGTCAAAAAGCATTATTCAGAAAGAACCAATTGGGAAAGCGTAGGCAAATCTATTTGAGTGAGAACAGAAGTTTTCACTCTGGGCCTCAGGTTTCATCCAGAACCAGCAGTTCAGTCTTTCAGCCTTCAGGCTGTTTTGGGCTTGAAGGCGGGGTTTCATTGGGGACCCGCCCCTATCAGCCTAAGCATTTTGTCTGCCTCCTGCTACTATCACAAATAATTTTATGATTATTAATTTTGCCTCAGCTCCTTCCTTTAGCTTGACATCCCCTTCGTGATACAGCCGGACCTATCAGCTCTGCACCATGAATTCCTTAGCCAGATGTCACCCTTCTGTGAAAGATTCCTTCCCCAGAAACTTCCTCTCTCCCAAACTCCTCCAACTAACTGTGTGTGTTGGGGGTGAGGAGGAGGAGCTAGCAACTCATTTATTGATCTGCAACTCTGTGCCAGGTCCTCCACCAGGAGCTTGACTTACTCTATCTTTTTTAATCCTCCTAAGTCCCCTGAAAGGCAGACAACATCCCACTTCCTCACAGATAAGGAAAGGGAGGCTCTAACCACAGCAATAGCCCTGATGTTCTACCCCGAATCCAAAGCCTGTGTCTGACTCTCCCTGTCTCCTGCTTCACCTCCCCTCCATTTCATCCCCAGGACACTAAGTGCAGTTTGCAAGTTCCTGCCCATCTGTTCACCACTGGACATAGGCCCTGAGATCCCACAACCGTGGGTACTGCATGAGTAAACCCTAAACCATCAACCAGAAAGGACATTTTGTTTTGTTTTTTGAGACCGAGTTTTGCTGTTGCTATGCAGGCTGGAGTGCAATGGCGCAATCTTGGTTCACCATAACCTCCACCTCCCAGGTTCAAGTGATGCGCCTGCCTCAGCCTACCAAGTAGGTGGGATTACAGGCATATGCCACCACACCTGGCTAATTTTTTGTATGTTTAGTAGAGACGGGAGTTTCTCTATGTTGGTCAGGCTGGTCTCGATCTCCTGACCTGAGGTAATTCACCCACCTCAGCCTCCCAAAGTGCTGGATTACAGGTGTGAGCCACCGAGCCAGGCCTAGAATTTTCTAATAGGATCATACCACTCCACTGCTTCAAGCACTTCCCTCAATGACCCCACTGCTCTCCAAATTAAGCCCAAATTACTCAAGGCCCTCGTTCATCATTGGCCACCCTCTCCACAACTCCCTGTGCTCTCCTACCTCTGAGTCCTCTCCAACTATTATAGCCTTCAAATAATTTAGCAGAAAAATAGTTTTGTTAAAAATCACCCAGCCCTAAGGTCATCTCTGAGGAGAATTGCTGAATGCAAATTAAACTGACTCATGATAATAATTGTATGCCCTAAGGAGCCAGCCTCTGCAACCTGCAAATGGGGAATCTCCAGTACACACACACACACACACACACACGACTGAATTTGAATCTGCATCTTAAGTCTGAGCGCTGTGGCTCACACCTATAATCCCAGCACTTTGGGAGACCAAGGCAGGTGGACCGCTCGAGCTCAGGAGTTTGAGACCACCCTGGGAAACACGGCAAAACCCTGTCTCTACCAAAAATACAAAAAAATTACCCAAATCAGGTGGCACACGCCCATGGTCCCAGCCAGCAGAGAAGCTGAGGTGGGAGAATCGCTTGAGCCTGGGAGGCGGAAGTTGCAGTGAGCTGAGATTGTGCCACTTCACTGCAACCTAGGTGATAGTGAAACCCATATCCAAAAAAAAAAACAACCTGCATCTTAATAAGATTCCTAAGACAGGTCTCAACCTTGAATCCCCTGGAGAGCTTACCCAGCCTGGGTGCCACCCCAGTTGTCATTGTATGAGGAGGCCGCCCAGTAACTGCTCACTCATTTAAACGTGGTCATTCAGTGACGGAACACTACCCTGACAGAGTGCCAAAGACCCAACTCTCATACTGCGAAGAGGGTAACTGTTAGAGCCTGGCAGAGGCAGGGAGCAATGTGACACAATTAACTTGAGGTTTACTCTCTTTGAAAAGCAAGTCACTTCTAGGGATTTATTCCACAGAGACACTGTGCACTTTTGCACCATCATGAAAAGATATAAAGCGGTCCCAAGCTTTATTGAAGTCAAATGGTCCCCTGATATGAGATGAAACTACAGTATATCCACATATGATGAAATACTAGTTATTTGAGAATGACATGGAAAAACATCCAAAATACCCTGTTCAGGTAAAAAAAAAAAAAAAAAAAAAAGTTGCAAAATACCACATGTAAAAAGGATAACTTCTAAAAATGATAAATATTAGTATATGCACCAGAAACACACTATTTTGAAAGGGAAGTATAAGAGACCTAACATCTAGGCGTTCTCTTTTTATCTTGTTTTCTGTAGATGAGTTGAAATGTTTCTCTTAGAAAACACATGGAGGCTGGGCGCAGTGGCTCACGCCTGTAATCCCAGCCTCCAAGGCCAAGGCAGGCGGATCATGAGGTCAAGAGATCCGGACCATCCTGGCAACATTGTAAAACCCCGTCTCTACTAAAATCAGCTGAGCATGGTGGCACACCTGAAGTCCCAGCTACTCAGGAGGCTGAGGCAGGAGAATCACTTGAATCTGAGAGGCAGAGGTTACAGTGAGCCGAGATTGAGCCACTGCACTCCATTCCACCCTGGGCGACAGAGTGAAACTCCATCTCAAAAACAGAAAAAGAAAACACATGGAATAAAGAAGGGAGAGTCTCAAAAAGCTTAAAAATGTAACTGATGATACTGCAATAACAGCATACTGACCCGGGGAATAAAGAAACCTTTTATCTGAAGAACATGAGCCCCTGTAAATTATCAGGCCCCGGCCAGGCGCAGTGGCTCACACCTGTAATCCCAGCAATTTGGGAGGCCAAGTCAGAGGGGATCACTTGAGGTCAGGAGTTCAAGAACAGCCTGGTCAACTTAATGAAATCCTGTCTTTACTAAAAATACTAGAATTAGCCAAGCATGGTGGTGTATGCCTGTGATCCCAGCTATTCGGCAGGCTGAGATAGGACAATCACATGAGCCCAGGAGGCGGAGGTTGCAGTGAGCTGAGATCGCACCACTGCCCTCCAGCCTGGGCAACAGAGAGAGACTCCAGCTCAAAAAATAGAAAATAATAATCAGGCCCAGAGGCATTATAGAATGAAATCGTAGTCAGGTCACTCCCTCCTGAGCTAAATAATTACCTCTTGAAGCCAAGTAGCTATCAAACGCCATACACCTTATAGTTCAACAGCATATAACCCATCACTAACCAAGGTTACTTCTGTAAACCAATGAGAATGCCTGACAAACAATATTTGTAACACCCCTTCCCCTTGTGTCAGTAGAGGTTATAGGAGCAGCTGAGCTCTCCTTTTCTCTTTAAAAAATGTTCTGGAAGTGCATCCCAAGCTGCAGTCCTCAACCTTGGCCCACCTAAACATTCTATACTAATTTTGCCTCAGCTTCTTCCTCTAAGGTCAATACTCATCACAAAGCAGACATCTGAAATATAAGCTTTATTTTAAATTCAAAGAAATGTTTAAAATAAACATTTTTGATAATCAAGCACCAAAACAATTTAGGAATGTTAAACACTAATTCTTAATTGAAAATAATGACATCCATAGAATACAACCCTGGTGCTGGCCGTTATGAAGTTTACTTAATGTCACTATTTATACATGCTAGCCACTAATCCTTCCTAAGATTTTATAACCATGATTTCACTTTATAAGGTGAAGCCTTTTATGTAATATCCCAGAGATAACTTTTTCAAATACAAAACACTTATACCAGCAAGGAAATTATAAAAACATGTATAAATTACACTGAAGGACTTGATTTAAAGGCTGTCTGTATATAGATGTGTTTCCCCTTAGAAAGTACACACGCATATCAACACACTTTCACTGAATACAGATGTCAATACATTCTCTTAGTTACATTACAAAGCAAATGGCAGGTTCATAAACATTGTTCTATTACGTATAAACTGAAAAAAACATATATTCAAAAAAAAGTTTTTGAAGACTCATGGGAGTGAAATGTGCCCGCACTGATAACAAAGCTTTCACAGGACCACCTGTCTGCAGCTGGCTCCCAGCGACCACTGAAAACAGCTGGCTACCCTCAGAAAGACAAGATGGTCTTGTTAATAATTTCAATGGACTCTAGGATCTCATCCTCCTTGATCACCAGCGGAGGCGCAAACCTGATGATGTCGCCATGGGTCGGCTTGGCCAGAAGTCCATTATCTCGAAGTCGCAGACACACCTTCCAAGCATCACAATCTAAAGAAAAACAGTAAAACATACATGCTCAAAGATAAACATTTAAACGTCCCTTGCCACATCTATGGGCGAAGTGCAGCCTGGCAAAACAATATTCCAGAACTTGCTCAAAAAAGGGAAGCTTGGAGCTGCAAGCTTGCTTAATTATTCCTAAAAATGAAGTTACTCTTCACTTTTCAGCAAGCACACAACTAGGTTTGAATGATATGATTAGGCATATCATGGTTTTTCATAAATGAAAAAGAGCAAGCCAAAACAAAAGAAAATGTGTTAAGGCTGCTGTATTAATAATCACACGAGGAACTAACGTAAAAGAACTTGGGTATGATCCAGATGATTAACTAACATGGAATGGGCAATATTCTGGCTGGATGTAGTGGCTCAACCCTGTAATCCCATCACTCTGGGAGGCTGAGGTGGGCGGATCACCTGAGGTCGGGAGTTTGAAACCAGTCTGAACAACATGGAGAAACCCCATCTCCACTAAATATGCAAAATTAGCCAGGCGTGGTGGCCCGTGCCTGTAATCCCAGCTATTCACTTGAATCCAGGCAGCAGAATCACTTGAACCCAGGAGGCGGAGGTTGCGGTCAGCCGAAATCACACCATTGCACTCCAGCCTGGGCAACAAGAGTGAAACTCTGTCTCCCAAAAAAAAAAAAAAAGGCAATGCTCAAAACCCAGTGAACACTACATATTCCAAAAAAAGGGATTCACTTCCGGAGTTCAACATTTTATAGTCGTGATTCTCAATCTGACTGCACATCAGAATCACCTTAAAAGCTATTGCTAACGCCTGTGCCTCACCCCAGATGCATCAAATCAGACTCCCTGGGGTAAGGCCAGGCTTTGACTCATTTTTTTAAAAAGCTCCCCAGCTGATTTTTAAGTGCAGCCAAAGTTGGGAGGCTGGAATCATCACTTTAAAAGGAAGAGTTATCACAAGAAAATCCAACAAGGAACACTTAAGGATTACAAACGATGTACTAAAACATCAAACACCCAACTAAGGGACAGCCAGCATTATTTTTATTAGCGACATCATCGCTGTCATTTATATCATTATTACTGCTGCTCCTCTAATCTCTACTGACATAAAGCATCAAAGTGAGGGAGGGAAGAATAGCAAAGAGGACACTTTCATGGACAGCGTTCTGTTCAGACTCACCAACAAAAAATCTTGAACTCTCTAAATAGTGCATCACTACTTAAGGCAGAAAAAGAAGTCTCTTAAAGGAACAGCAAGAATCAAATTGGTTAAATTTGCCTTCATTTAGAAAAGAGCTATATTTTTTATACTCTTAATATAAATAATCTGTCTAAAAGGCTTGGTCAGTATGTCAGTCAACAATTTCAAACAGAACATCCCAACAACCAATTAAAATACCAAGTGTGGCCAGGCGCAGTGGCTCACACCTGTAACCCCAGTACTTGAGGAGGCCGAGGCAGGCAGATCACGAGATCAGGAGTTCGAGACCAGCCTGACCAACATGATGAAACCCCGTCTCTAGTAAAACTACAAAAATTAGCTGGGCATGGTGGCGGGCGCCTGTAATCCCAGCTACTCAGGAGGCTGAGGCAGGAGAATTGCTTGAATCCAGGAGGCAGAGGTTGCGGTGAGCCTAGATCATGCCACTGTACTCCAGCCTGGGTTAGAAAGCAAGACTCTGTCTCAAAAAAAAGTAATATAAAATACCAAGTGTATTTTAGGTCTTCCTAAAAAAAAAAAATCTTGAGTAAACATTTTATCTCCATACCTTTGGTTTCTTTAATAACAATAGCATTCAATAATCCTTTTCCTCTCACGGCAGTTACAACATCAGAAGGCAGCTTCATGAGTTCATTTCTCAAGATAATGCCCATTTTTTCTGCATTCTCAGCAAGGTTTTCTTCTTCTAAAACCTACGTTAAAGGAAAAATTATACAAATGTTAAGACTTCCCTTTTTTGTTGTTCTTTGGAGGACAATGGGGCCTTTAAGCACAGGAAGAACATGACTAAATGACAGACGAGAGGAACTTAACTTTCATTGCGATTTTTCAAAGCCTATATTAGTTTAATTTCTAATTAAACATACACTAGCTCAGAGCCTTGCTTTGGTCATGAATCTACTGCCAATCTTTCATGGCAAAATCAGGATTAAAGTTTATTTAATGCAACTCACATACCGTCATTAGTTGAATGCATCAATGGACTAAATTCCTAAACTGCAATAGTTTCTTCCCGCTCACAAAGATCCATCCTCAGAGATTACATCATAATTTTAGGCCTTCAGTAGGCACTTAAAAAATCAGTTTGAAAACACTATAAATCCACACTTTTAAAAAAAGCCTTGCTTGCTAAAATAAGCAAAAAGTCGGGCCTGGTAGGTGGGTCACAGGTGAAAGTTCTGTGAGGGCCGGCCAGGGCCTAGGAGCCCAAAGCACCCAGGAGACTGTGAACTCCAGAAGACCACAGAGGAGATCCAGTCTACTAGGCCAAGTTTACGTTACTTTTTGAAAATGTCTTCTTCCTGAAAATTTTCCTCTATACTTCATGTTTTCTAATATTTGGCATTCTTATTGAATTTCTTATTATACCAGTGGGACAAATTAAAAATCACCTCAACATTACTTTAAATAATTGTCACTGTATGGCTGTATCAGCTTTACCTCAAGGGCTGCGATGGCCACTCGGCAGCCTAGTGGATTGCCACCGTATGTGGACCCATGCTCCCCTGGCTTAATGGTCAGCATTATGTCATCATCACACAGCACCGCAGACACCTGAAAGACAGTGAATTCATCACGTCATTTCTCAGCACTAAGCATTCTACTAAGCATTCTTTTTCCCAGAGGCTTGCTCTGTTGCCCAGGCCAGAGTGCAGTGGCAGGATCTCTGCTCACAGCAACCTCCACCTCCCTGGCTCAAGCAATTCTCTTGCCTCAGCCTCCCAAGTAACTGGGATTGCAGGCGCCCACCACCACGCCCGGCTATTTTTGTGTATGTGTAGTTTTAGTAGAGCTGTGGTTACCATGTTGGCCAGGTCTCAAACTCCCGACCTCAGGCAATCCACCTGCCTTGGCCTCCCAAACTGCTGGGGTTATAGGCATGAGCCACCACGCCCAGCCAAGAAGCTAATACTTAATGACTTCAACAAGAGTTTACATCTGCCAGCCTAACTACCAGTGACAACCTAAGTAATACCCTAAAATATTACAAATACATTAGGCATACTTCAATGGAACAAAACAATATAATTTTGCAACTAAAAGAGAAAAGCTATTTCTGCATTGATATAATTTCACAATTCCTTCCAACATGGAGATAAAATGCTTAGAAAACAAAGTTGAGCATTCTTTTCTGCAAAAGTTTTGTCTATTCAGCAAAAACATCTATACTTTGGAGACCTTGGACCCAGCAACAATTACTGGCTCTGAATGGTAAACCCAAGACATGAACTACAACCAACATTAATTTTTTCACTATGTTCATCAGTCACGGTTTTAAACAATTAGTAATATGCCATGTTTCTGAACACTGAAAAAAAAGAACAGGAGTCTGCAGGAGTCCTTTGAGGGTAAACTGTTTCCACCCAAATCCAATGTCATAGCAAATTCCAAGGCACGCTCAATTCTTCTAAGTGGGGCACACACTAGTCCCTTAAATGTTTTTATTACGTATATTCCAGGTGACCTACAGCACACTTGGTAAAATCAAACTATCTGAAAGGCATAACTGTCACAATCAGTTGATGTATAAACACTTTAGCGGTATATTTTACAAAAATAGGAAATGGAAAGAGGGGGGACATGAAACTTACGGGATATAATCCCCCAGAAAGGGCCTTTCCAAGGAGGACTATATCAGGTCTGACATTTTCATGATCAACAGCCAGCCATCTACCAGTTCTGGCCAATCCTGTCTGTATTTCATCAGCAATAAACAGAACCTATTGGGGGAAAAAACGTAAAAGCATTAGTGATCATTTTTGTTTCCAAAGGGAAAATACCCATCTTTATTTCACTGCCCTCCCTGACAATAAATGTGTAACTCTGACGTGCCCTCAGATTTGTAAAAATGTTTTAACTACACACACAATTTCAAGAGTATCCTATGAGAATCTTGAAGACTCACCAACTATTTCCTGTCAGGCCGCTATCTCCCTAGAGGCCCAAGGTGCTGACGCAAAGGTGAAGATTTTGTATAGCTTTTCTGGACATAACTACCCTCTGGGAACAAATTAATTCACCTGTTTATTCCACAAACTTTTAAGCTGTGTCAGGAACTCTCAAATGGTAAACAAGATACACTAATTTTAGCCCTGGGGGAAAGGAGAGAAAACTACGACAAAGGGCCTGGGAGGGGCTCAGAGCAAAAGGCTCTTAGAGTGGCGAGGAGGGAAACGCTGTTAAGGCCAGGTCTGCCGCTCTGCACAGGGCCCAGGACGTGGCCAGAGACAGGAAAGTCAGCTTCTGTGTAGATTTCTAAGCACTAGAAAGTACTTCAGCTCCTAGAATGCCATCGCCCTCTAGTGGACAGTAATTTAACCTTTGCATTTATCCTACCAGCAGGATTGAGAGAGAGAGAAGTTGGGGAGGATCACAAACAGCTAAGTGGACAACCTGGTGCCTGGTGCAGAGCTCTCGCACACCCAGTAGGTAACCAGGATCCGGAACAACAACGCCTGCTTCACCCTGAATTGGCTCTACCATGAACGCAGCCACATTTGGATCCTGAAGAGCACGCTACAAAAGAAACAGGAATAAGTTTTAGTAACGTTCTTTCTACCATACTTGGATATCTGAAATCATACACCACACATATTTTCCTATTAAGCATGCAAATCAAGTTTTTGCACTAACATAAATTCTGACATCAGAAGAATTTGAAGTGGAAGACCAAATTCACTACCATCCAGTCATCATAAGTTCCAGATATTTTGCTTTAAGTGACACTAGCCTGCATTTTCTTCTTTTCCTCACTCCATTGTCCAGGCTGGAGTATAGCAGAATAAACATGGCTC